TGGGGCGGTAGATGTATTCAGAATCAGAGGGGGTAGCAGCTTTCTTATGTTCCTTTTCTTCTTCAGAAATGATGCGGGTGGGCTGCTTGGCTTCACTCCGGTTCATTCAGTCATAATTCAGTTGTGTCACTGCGTCATAAATGACAATATGACGCTTTACAGAAGATTCACCGGCTGCTAGGGCCAGTCCCCCTCGACTTTTTAAAACATATATTCGAAAAAATGCCTTGAGGATGAAGAACAGAAGGAAATAAAGAAACCCACGAATACGATTTGCTACCTAGCAGAATTTCCTTTCAAAATGAAATTCAAGAATACCTAAACAAAATACATTAACAGCAAAAGGAACCATCTGAAGTAAATTTAACATAAACGCAATGGTCAGATCATAGCAAGGCAGTATAGCAGAAAAAAGGTCCATGGCTAATCCTGGATTACTACCATCTTGAGACAGACTTGGGAAACTAATAGAAGCAAAGCAAAAAACAACTCTTCATTCATACAAGTAGATCTAATATCCTCCTTCCTCCCTACATTTAAGGAACAAAGAGCTACTACTCATGGATACTAGGAGGAGCAACCAAACTCGGGATTTATGCTACTGGAATCTCAATATTGGTTGTCATCACTGGTGGAACATACTCTTCTTCTTCCTTGGGAGGATGGATGGTGACCAGATCAGGCAATGGTGTCATTGGCCCCACCTTGCCCTTAGGATCCCAGTCAAGCATGATCTTCACCTTGATACCAAGCACACCCTGTTACCAGAGAAGGTTTAAAGGAAAATAAGCCACTGACCAAAAGGTTGTAAACAATGAGCAAATACAGCAATTACTGGATTTGTATGGCATGGTACTCTGCAGGAGACACAATACAAACAACTAACCTGTCTAAGAAGAACGTGCCTAACAGCTGAATCAATATACTCTTTAACAGGTTGGCCAGAGGAAATCATGTACCCATCCTTAAATTTCATAGATTTGGCTCGCTGTGCCCGGAGCTTTCCACTCACAATAACCTGTGACATGACACAGGAGAATGGGTTTCAATGATTAGCACATGCTGGCTGCCACAATTGCAAACAATAGGAAAAACAACCAAGAAATCAAAATCTTTAAGCATACCTCGCATCCTTTTGCCCCACTCTCCATTACAAATCTTAAGACTCCATAACAAGCCCTGTAAACATAACAAAAGTTTAACCTCAACGACAAATTCCAATGGGGTACATGCTATATGCATGCAACTCAGTTTGACTATTCAAATTGATCAATGCACAAGTGACCGAGAAGCAGAAGGTAAATGAACAATTTCTTGTCCCTTAATTGGATATGAAACAGAACTGTTAAAATATAAGAACCCTGAATTCAAACACTTGGTACCTGAAGGGACCAACAGGAAAGTTGTATTCAAAATCCAACTACAGAGATAAGGGATTCAAAAAGTGCAGCAACCACCAAATATCAACAAAAGCAGAAGAATAGCAGGCAATAGAAAACAACACAAAAAACATAAATCACAAATTTCTAAATCAAACAGCAGAGTGTGAAGCTGTCATTCATGCATTTGTCTGTGCATACAATTAATACGAATAAACTACCAGGAATGCATGACAATATTCTAAAGCCAGACAAACTCCTTATAAAGAATTTATGGGAACATTGTTTCATCATAGTTTGAAACCCCAAGCTCTCAAGTCAATCGAAGAGGTATATATAATTTGGTAGTGATGTAATGAACAAGCATCCAATCATGAAACTTCCAAGCTCTCCATACAAAATATGATATTAGTACAGTGTTAACAGTTGTAATGATCAACAACATCCAAAAATTCAGAAAAAGTAGCAGGCATGAGAGATATTACTCAGAAAAAATAAACATCATAACAATGCACTAAATCATGCGTCATAAACCATCCTAGTGTAGGTATAGAGGTATACATGCCGATAAATTATTTTCCTAATATGCAAAGCTCCCTCTGACTAATACTTATTAGTCATAAAAAGGTTGTATCTACCATCACAATTTCTGTGCAAGGAAAAACAGTTGCATTCCTTGTATTATAGAAAATTGATGGCATCAACAAATATTGTCACCCTCAGACACGAGATGGACATTTTTAAATAACCAACTCGCTGTAAAGATGACTTGTTCAGCAGAAACATCAAAATTCATAAAAATGCAAAAGAAGCAGGTAGACATGCAGAGATCACCAAAAAAGCAAACAATCAATAGAGTTGGACGCACCTGCGAACAGCAAGGCCTCCGAGGAGCTTGTAACGAAGAGACTCAGCCTGAGCAATGGCACAGAGACCCCTGTTGTTAACTTTCTCAGCATAGAGCTCCACACCATTCTCAGGAAACTTAAAACGTTTCTGAACAACGGAAGTCAGCTCCCTGATCCTCCTTCCCTTCTCACCTAAAACATAACAGCAGCAGGTAATACCATATTGGGTACGAGTAGATAATGTCATTCTCCCCCATAACAAAAAAGATAAAAAATTACCAAGAACATTTTGGGTACGAGTAGCCCTGATGATGATCTCAGTGCGCATGGGAGTAACCCTAACTTCAACACCAGAGTAACCATCCTCCGCTAGTTCTCTTGTCAACACCTCATTAAGTTCCGCATAGAAAACTCCATCCGCAACAAACTACATATTTCCCAGAAACAAATTTTTTTTATCAGATTCATCTTTTTTGTTTCCTAAGAGAACCAAAAACAAATGTTGTAGCAGTTTACCTTGCGTTTCTTACTTATTTGAGTAGCCATGGTTAGGAGGGAATTCAAGGTTTTCAGAAGAAGCTACGCCGCGTCCTGTTCTTCTTGAGAGTTAAAGTGCAGCGAAGCGCAGGCCAAACCCTAAGTAAAAGCTTATCCGTTTGTTTGTAAATAAAAAGAGGGAGGATTTCTTGGCAAACCGGGGCTGTTTTGGTTTTACACGCTACAAAATATGGGCCTAGGTTTAGATCAGTCAGATTCACATAAATTAAGCCCAAATTGGATTTTGAAAGTTCATAAACCATTTTTTCTCTTACAAAAACAAAATAAAATAGTAATTAATTGACGATTATTTTTTCGCTTTTGTAAATTCATTTTATTTTTATTAACCGTACCTCCAAAAAAATAAAAATAAAATATTTAAAATTTTAATTTAAGTAATATAACATATAAATATAAATATATAATTTATTTAGCAATGATTAAACTATATATACACACACTATACGGTTTTCAATTAAAACCAAATGAAAACTGTTTAACTCTGAATTTAATTACCAATTTAATTTTCATTTAATTTCAAATAGTCAAATTAAAAAAAAAACCAACAAAAGTCAACCAAAGTCTCCAA